AACGTTTGGTCTTAAGGAGCGCACCAGCATTCACAAGCCGCAAATAAGTTAGTGAGACAGGGATAACCTATTCCAAAGCTATGCTACTTCTCCAAAAAGGACCCATATTTCACCAAGATACGTAAACAACTCCTTCAGAATAATCTTTTCTAAAATTTTTAAGGCCACGCTAGTTGTATTTACGGGTCGATAGTTCTTAGGTTTATCTTGCGTGCCTGTTTTGAAGACAAGACTTACTATGGCATTCTTCCAGTCTTTGTAGTAATCGACCCTGGGTTACAGGTAGATCAAAACATATGTTTAGGGGACTTACTACAAAATTTGCCAGTTCCTTTAGTAAACTGGGATGTATCTAATCGGGTCCCGTGGATTCTCCTAGTAGATCAGAGTCACGGATTACTTTGATGGTATCCAAATCCAGTGTGTGTGTGGTGGGGCCTCGGTAAACTGAAGGGGGGAGCATGTTTACGATATGTAAATTACTAAAGTAATTTGAAAATGCCCGAGCTCTACCATGATCGTCCACCACTAATGATGGAGTACTACTATTTTCCCATAATTCTGGGATATTTCCTCTTCTCTTAGTACTTTGGTTTATATACGAGTGTAAGCGTCCAGGGTATTCTACAGACTCCTTAACAAGTTCTTCGTAAAAACCTCTAGACTTGAAGAGGTTAAAAGTATAAATATTTTGAGCTTCCCGACATTGAGATATTGTTTCGTCAGTACCCAATGACCTAAAGCTCCTCAACATTCTTCGCGTCTTACGGCGACGTGTTTAAACCTGTTTATTGAACCACGATAGGGAGTCTCTTGGACCCCTTGATGTAATTCAAAGGATGTGTGGTATAGTGACTTTCAAGCACAAATTTCTGAATGCATTCCTAGCCGTTTCAATTAGGGACTCTGGTTCTATCATCCAATTTACTGAGAATACTGAGTGTATAACGTCTTGTATATGTGCTTTCCTGACTTTGGGTCTGAGTTGAGCTGACACATGCTCGATCACGACAACCATATAGAAATCAAAATTTAGGACTGCATGATTACTTTTACCTAAGGTTTGTGACCTCATCCTAATAATCTGTCAATGTGAGATCTAGTGAGAATGTTTCAGAGTCTGGCTCGTACTTAGTTGCTTCTTTCACATTGTAAAGGAAAGAAAGCACTGAAAATCCCTCCACAGCATTTAATTGAACAGCATTGTTAGTTAAATGTTTCTTCTCCCTGTTGTGCGTTTTAACCTTTATTCGGGCCCCTTTTAACCACACTTTATGTCATTCAGTCTTCCTTGCCTGGGCTTTTATTAAGTGACTTTTGTTGAAGACGTGCATTTCACCGCTTAATTTTTCTGTTGCATGTTGCCGGACTATTGACAATAAGATCGGGTTTGACTAGGGTAAAGGTCACGTTGTGGTTAAGTGTGTGACAGCCAAAATTTAAGCGACTACTTGGAAGGATTGCTTGAATTCCTGCAGATATATATCTGATCTCATCTTCTTGAAAATATTTTTATTGATTCTTAGGTATTGAACTCTTGTGTATAAACTATTCTCTTTGTTGTTCAGAAGTCTGATCTGTGTTAGAGAAACTGTTGGCTGTACAGCACAGGCTGTACCGTTTTAGGCACTTTGTATTTTTGATAGATTTCGTTCTCATTGTTAAATTAGAACGATTTAAATTGAACACAGAGTTTGTGTTTTGATACAATTTAATACGAGTAACTCGAAAAATGCTATGCAAAAGAACGTAGTCTGGTCTGGTCGAATAAATGTTGGTTCGTTAGTTGTGCACTCGAACTGAATATTGGTATTTCGGTCGTTAAAACATGTTATGCCCGAGCACATGTGATCATTGCATCAACTTGTTCCTTTTCGAGGGGGTTTTCTGACAATTCAGTTCTAAGATTTTCTCAGTGTGCCGTTGGTGCAATATGATCTACCAAGATTAAACATCGATAGCTTCGTGACCAAGTATTGAGACTGTCTAGCAATATATCATTTACCTTACACTATGGACTGCGGTAGACCAATCCAATCAGCAGGTCTTGTCGTTTTCATTCCAGGCGGGATATGTTATCAATGATGCTATATGGGGTAGTATCCATAATGAATAGAGCTACTTCCCCGCCTTCACTCTTCTGAATCCCGTCGGCTCTTAATAATGTGAAACTTTAAAAACCAAGTACCGTACTGTCTATAGACTGCGTCAACCAGGTTTCTTTGACTGCGATTACATTCGGCCTGGTAAAGTTTATCTGTACACCGAGCTCCGATCGCTTGCTGGGAAAGCTCCGAGCACTTGTGTAACAGATTCAAAGACCATTTATATAGCTTTGTGCTGCAACCAGAGTGTCCTTGGCATCAATCTCTGTCGAAGCCTCATTACTCGAAAGTTTACAATTTTTAGGTCGTACTCGCTAGCACCTAACCCAAGTTTAGATTCGTTTTTGGCTCCTCGTCTTCGTATACAGTACGCGAACGGCAAGTCTTTTCGGACAAAAATTATTGACTACTTTAGTCTGTGTCCATCCTGTAATATTAAGTCCTTCTCATTTGGAGAGTTTAATACGGCGTTTAGTAGTCTGATTTGATCCTGTTTCACGTTCATTTGGCTACCTTGTCTGTAAACCTTTAGCAAGGTGACTCCAGAGATAACATGATGCATAAGCTGGTTTACAAGATACTTTATTAGCTCGCTATCATGCCAAAAATGAGTCTTGAGTTTTGAGCTTACACTCTCCTTTACTCCGTGAAAGACATCTGACCTGTCGCTATGATGAATCTTCAATATCCCAACCGCTGTTCGGAGGACTAGCTTTTCTTTAGTAGCACTAGATCACTTTTTATTCCTGATGTGTACGCATTCATCAACTTCCATCGGAGTAGTGATCACAGTCGTGTTACAAACATTGAGGGACCCTGGATAATTGTTCTGCTAGTAACAGATCCAGCATAACAACTGTGTTTTCTAGGTGTTTCCTGCAAGCTGCCATTTCTAGAGTGTAGGACAGAAGAAACTTCCTCTCTTGATATTCTATTTTTAACAGATCCCTTTACAAGCTATCCTGCCTCAGTCGGCTCATGTAAGTCAATCGACTCTGAGCTTCAATTTGCGTAGTGATCGAACGAAAACTGTTTGATGTATCTCTATCGCACTTGCTGATACACCTTTTAGCAACATTATGATTAAAATAGCTTCGGATAGTAAGCTGCTTTCGTTCGAGAAGCACTGCCGAGACAACCACACAACTGTTCTTGCTAAACCGTGTAAATGTCAACCAATTTGTGATATAAATTGTCTTCACACGCTCACCACTCAGACTCATGTTTTCAATTTTATGCTGGATTAGCTATTCTACTAAGACAACCTGTGACATGCTAACTCGGACTTCGGGCATCGGGTGGACAAAAAAAGAAAAAAATCAGACAACAAAAGATATAGTCATTAGTATTCTTAACACTTCACCCTCTATATGCACACTCCCTTCTAATAAACCGCTTTCCTTGTACCACCCATGACTTCCCTTCCTTCATGTGAGCTTACCCGACTTGTTAAACATCACAACTCATTATTACTACATTCTCTAATATGGAACCTCTGACGTCGTTTCGCTCTAACAAGAGATAATATGAGCTGAATGTAATTTATCATACCTCTGTCTGTTGTACTACACAATATTAAGCAACGTTTGGCGTTCATATCCAAGTGCCTTGCTGCTCTTCTGTTTCCCTTTTTTCTTTGGAATCTTGCTCTGAGGGCAGAGCTTTGGAACTTCTGACGTCTGGAACAAACTTGACGTACGCGTCTCTTCAAGGTCATGGTTTACAGCAAGCGCTCCACGAGTCTACTTTATGACAACTGTAAACTTAATAGGTTGGGAAGCATGTTGTGAACCAACAAATGTTGTAATTTATAGATCATTCCATTAGAAATGGCGTGTACCTGCACATGCAGAAATATATTGTTATTATTATTATAAAGGTATCACCAGCAGCAGAGTTATGAAACGGTCGGTAGGAGGTAGGTTGATCAATTCATTTCCAGTAGAAGCATTTGGAGGCATAGAAAAGGAATGCGTTCGATATGTGCATAAAATATCAAAAGGTGAATTATAAGTTTTTAAATCATCTGGCTACCTTTGTTTTTGAAAATCTAAACAAAGCCACTCCCATTAGGGATTGTGACACATTGTGCAATATGAAGATGCTACAAGTATTCGGAGTTCGACAACGCCCCTAAGCGTAACACATTTATAGTTTAAGAATAACAGTCAAGTCAAATCAAAAGCTGGGAATGAAGGGGTTCGAAGATATATTTGAAAAGCTGTCGAAGTGCTTGATCTGATCTGGCTAACAGCTGCAAGGGATGCGCAGCACGGATGCGTGACCGAGCGCCCTCAGCTAGGTGTGTTCAGTAAAACTAATGAGGTCGGCACCAATGTCAAAGAATTGCGTGACTTTGTTTCGGGGGTTTGTTTACCGTTAAGAGCCTTCTAAAGAAGAATGTGCAAACCGTCCTCAAACACTGACTTTCACTGCAATGTTCGAAAAGTCTGGTAGTCAACCTCTGAATAAGTTAGTGATGCAGTACCAATTTCATGGGCATCTGTGACCACTTATCCAATTTCCACATAGGCAGCTGGGTGACAAGCCGTTATTTTTAAGTCAAGTGGTGGTGTGAGTATCTTGGTTGTTAAGCACATTTTGTACGTTCCGATTTTTCACTGTACTTTTTACACCACCGACATTGAAAACATGAAATATCTGCAAAACTATGGAAACCGCTTACAGACTCAACAAACATCTGATGATTTCTTCGCATACATGTTTGGGAGAAACCACTGTGTACAGGAAGGATTTCTGAGCACCTGCGAATATATTTAATCAGACTTTTAACCCCACAGAGTCTAACGAAAAGCATCGAAAATAGAGGGTTCAGGGTTAAAACCTTTCTGCTTGTCGTGCTTTGAAATTATCTGTCTTGTGTTTTAACTAATGACTAGACACCCAGTGACATAGCAACACACTCAATTCTATAACTGAAATGGTCAAGAAGAGCAATAAGAAAACACCAAAGAAGAAGAATATAAAGAGCAGGTTTTTTAAAAGCTTTACCAATTACATTTATCAAGCAATGATGATAAGATTAAGAAGTTAGAAGATGTGAGAAGGATAGCTGCTGTTAATGCCAAGTTATGGGAGACTAGAGTGGAAATTGCGGAAAAAGTCAAAGACAAGATCCAGTAGGCTGTTTATTTCAAATAACAAATTAGGGAACGTGCAAAACAGTTGGCTGATGATAATGCCAGACTTAATGATGCTCTACGTCAATCAGAAAAGGAATCAATGGATGTGTTTTCTTACTTAAAAAAGCAAAATGAAGATAAAGACAATGAGGTATCGTATTGTTTATTGAAGTTTTAGTGTGCAGCTAAAAGAACTTAAAAGCAAAATGGAATCCATGTCCATTTCTCACGAAAGAGATAAAGAGTTAATTGTAAATTGATTACATATTCTGAATACTTCCTCCTAACACATTCAGATCAGGGATGCAAAACAACAGATTTTGTGCATAAATAGTGAAAAGGAAAAAAAGTGCGATAAAATTAAGGAGCTCGAACAGGAAATAATGCAGTTGGATGAATATAAAAGTGAGAAAACACGAACTGAAAACGAAATAAAACAGGTATAATTATGATAATTATAATAACAAGGTGAATGGATACATTGATCTACTTTAGTTGCGCGATGAAGTTCAAAATCAAAAGTGTCTCATTGAGAATATGGAGACAAAGTTTTTCGAAGAGAAGGTAAGTGGGATTAAGACTGTCCCATACTTTTAGCTAAAAATGAGGGAAAGTAGCATAAAAGATATCAAAGCTCTGGCAGAAGAAGCACACAAGATTTCTATTAAGTTGCTTTCATAATAACAATAACCAAATAATTAATAAGAAATTTAGACGATTCCGTCAAGTTGTCATTTGTTCAGAACGTCGCAATGAGGAGATTTATAACATTTTTAAGAAAACAGCTGGTGTCAGCTGAGGACTTATCAAGATCTTTGAATGAAGAAAACAAAAAGCTTACTATAGAGAAGGAAACCTTGGAAGGCATTTTGTTGTCAAAGTCCTTGGAGTGCAAAAACTTGAAGGAACTTATTCAAGAGGTGGGTATTTCTATTCAGAGTTAATAAGTGTTTGAAATATATACTTTTATAGATCTGTGCCGTTAATAAGTTCATCCTTCGTACATAGACCATTTGTCTAATAAGTCATAGTTCCAAAACACTTGTAACAATGCTCTAAAATAATTATGTAAAGGATCCATGAACAACTCATTTCCAGTATGCCATTTTAACTAGCCAATATCTGCTAGAAAATGTAAATGTAAATTTGGATAAATCTAAAACTGCGAGTTTACCACAGCTCACAACCTAATATAACGCTTAATCTGTTACTGGTAGTCACTCTTTACCTTTACAATAAATATAAATGGGCATACGAAAAAGGGTTAGAGTGATTATTGGCATGCAGTAAGTATTTAATTTACAACAATGTGTATTATTTTGGGACAATGCTTTCCATCTTCTTGAGGATACAAAGCATGAAACGAATGCAACTTCATTTTTGAGAGATTTAATATGTAAGCATCATTATTTATTTTAACTAAGTGAGCACTATTAAAAGTTGGGACGTGTTAATTGTCAGGGGGGTCAGAGGTAAGACCATGTCAAACATTCGGTGAAACATTTTATTCGATATAACACCTCCATGCACATCAGTGGTCACACAAATTTAGTGTGATACTTCGTCCGTATCAATTAAGTATAATATCTGTTCGTATCAATTTAGTATGAATTTATTTGAAGAACAGTCAATGGATATAAAAATATATGTAAAGTAATGAATTTGTTAGTGATAGGTAAAAATTGTGCTTTGATTCTGGATGTTGAAATAAATCATCTACCAACAAAGTTTGCACTCCTCTTTGTATCGATTCATATCAGGTTTTGTTTTCACTCATAGCAATCATGTCAGTATATACTGAAGCATTTGTTATTAGGTAATAGGGCTTATCCTAGAGCTAAACTTCATTTTGGTTGACTTTTATCATCATGTTGTATATATAATATTTGGGGGGGGGGACTCGTGATCTCCAGTGATGTTTAAACCGGTACCAAACCAATGTTGCCGTCAAAGATTTTTTTCATCAAACTATTTTTTTTAGTAAATGATGATCTATAGATCCGAAATGTACAAAGTAATGTATAATTTAGTATTAACTCACATCATGTTGTCTAGTGACTAGTACTGCTCAGACTCGATCGATCAACCTGTAATGTGATCACACACTGACTAACTAATAATTATATGAAGCGACGTTCTATCACCTACATTCAACCACAAATCGGAAGAAATGAAAAGGTGGATAGTTTAGGGCAGAAAACTTTGATTATACTTTGATTCATTAGGCCATAATTTAGAAAATATTGACAAATATTTCATTTTCAAATAATATTTTAATCTGTAAATTGATCTGACAATTTATTTGAAACGTTTGATTAAATGAAGGATTTGGCATATTTTTCCGTGTAATTACTGTTAGTTAGTTGAGGAGGACAAATCAATTTTGCAACGTTATATGTTCTTCTTTTAGCGTTTCTTTTACGTTACACCATAAATTCATCTGGCATTTTAACTTTAGGCCATATCTGTTAAGTGATTTCCAAGTCAGTCTTGAGTGCTATTAGAAGTATGAAGGTGGTTATCACTTACCGGTTGCCCACACTGTGGAACGGTTCTTCTGGAGATACCTGAAGAGGAAATTGGGTTAAGAGTGATCCTAGTGCCATGGGACAACTGCTTGAGGTCGGTCACACACGACCTTTTTGTGAGTAGTTTTATTGTCAGCTCCGTAATTTTTGGAACCTTACCGCCGGAGATGGAAATCAGTGGGATAAGACGAGGTGTGCACTTTTAGGTTCAACCCTTTCCAACCCCACCCTTCCTTGTGTGAAGGCAACATCGCTGTTATGCTGATTGTCTAAAGGAAACACTTTACTGCCGTCACACCTCTGTATAGTCTGCAGTACGACTTCGCCCTCGGACCTTGGGTTTACTGCCTTTAGTCTTACCACTCTTCAACCGACCTGTCTGGCATTGTAGGACCTTGAAGGACGATTGTTCCAACCAGTGAAGCTCAATCGGTTCATTACGATAGGCAAGCCCGACCACCACGTCCAGGTAGCAACGACGATCGGGATTTCCATGTGAATTTGAGATTTCTTCTGGCTAATGTTTCTACTTAAAACTAAATATTCACTGATAATATAATAACATAGTTTTTGTTTACTTTTTTTCACCTCCTACTTTTCTCTTATCTTTTTTCGTAAAAACTATACAAAATAATTATGTTAGAAAGATGAAAAAATTGAACTTTATCAATATGAAATTAAACAGTTAACTGAAGATTTAAATAAACAAAAAACTATATTCAGTGAACAAGTGACACTTCAAACATTTGAAGCATCTAAATCAATAGAGAGATTAACTAAAACATTAGAATTAGAACGTAAACGAATGATACGTATATCTAGTTTAGCAAATAGAATTTTACAACAAAGAAATGAAATTGAAGAATTCTTTATTACATCATTAAATTATGTTCGTGATGAGATCAAAGTGAATCAGTAAGTTTCACTTTTTCTTTAAAATAAGACTTGTGTTTTTCGAATTACTTTCTGATTTAGTTCTTTCATTACTATCTTGAAAATATAATGTACTATATAAATATGAGGTGGGACTATAATTAATGAACGAACCATTATGATTTAAGATTTTTTATTTTATTATTTTAACACAGATATTGGTACAAGGAGGCACCAAATACATATGCGCCACACAAATCTCATTCGATATGTGTGAGGGCTGTGATACTGCCCGGGTTCCCAAACCGAAGCAGGTGGTTTTCATAGGGGGCTACACACGGAGCCTTCGACCTGAAGGTCTGATCCACACGGCAGTGGAGCATCGTAAGGAGATGCAGTCCCATGGTAGCCGGTGACCAACAATTGGTTCATACGCCATTTGTTCCTGCAGGATACTGAAGCCCATGTGTACCATTGGTTTGGAATCCGGTTAAAGCGCCGGACATTCGCCTTTCGTCCTCTCATTTTCGTAAACAACAGTAATGCCACGGACTTCCCTGGCAGAGGCTATATACGCGTAGCCATGTGAGAGCATTTGGAGAGGGAGAGCGGATTCTCCCCACTCTCGGCCGTACCAGGGCATTTGGAGACATGATTTAAGATATAAAGTCATTGACTTTGGTGCGAAATTCATTCATCTATATGACTAAGTACCATTTTGGTATTAAAGTGTATGTTGATTTGTGATGAAAACCCTAACTGTAACTTATAATCCTAATTCTTCACACTAAGTTATAACGCTTTTTTGACCATAGCAAGTAGTTGAATATTTTAGAGGTCACTCTGACATGGTTCAAAGGTCGTCCATAAATTCTAGTCTCACCAAATGTGATTGGTTTACAGACGTAATTTTTTGTTAGAGTAAGGATTTTTCATTAGCGATTGTATAATATTTCGACAAGTTTCTGCGTCAAATGCATTCGAATTGTAATTATTTAAAAAATTTATATTTAATAAGAGTTCTTAACAGTTAATAGCTCGTACATATCTTCGATCACGAGAGGTTATGTATCAGTTTAACTGCTGCCACTAAGTTTTTATCTATCATATATAGAATTAGGAGGGGTTTTGTGGGGATTGTAATTATTTCAATAGTTGAGATCATGAGTCAGTTGAAGCTAAACTACCATAGAAAACTTGGAAGAGCTGAACGGCCGTTTCATCCTATTGTGCGACTCCTCAGCAGTGAATAGATAGGATCCACGAATTCTAATGTATTACCCTCTTGTTTTTTTCTCTCAAAGGATAAGCAAGAAGATAAACATGATAATAACTCCATTTATAATACTAGTTGAGTATCTGGAAGATAAATAGACAAGACATTTGAACAGGCCTGTAATAATGAACAAAACACTTTAGTTTCTAAATCATCTGATGTCATTTAGTAGTAATTTGATAAAATTACTTTGGAATTTTTCTGGTTCCAGTCTACTGTACGAGAACGAACGTCTTGGGTTCAAGTTCAGTGTGCAAAATCTTGGATGTGCACTGCTGAAGAGTTCATACTAGAAAGAAAAGGTAGTCCAGTGATTCCAGGTTTTCATTGGTGGTCTAGCTTAGATCAACTCGTGAATTCAACTGTGAAAGTACTACAATCTACATAAGTTTCCTTACTTTGAATAGTCAAATAATAACAAAATAATGTAAATCGTATGAAATTATTTAATTCGCTGATGAAGTTTCGTTATCACCGGCATTAGTCAGTAAATTTTTATGAAGGTAACAAGAATTCCGTCAATACATACATGGAGAAAGATACAGAATACTAAAGTTAAGTACTTGTAGAAAATTAGCAGTTGCATATTTACTATTTATTGTGGTGGTTATAGGTAGTCAACAAGAAATCATGAAGCTGGGTTTTTTACTATTTTGCACTCATCAGCGAAGTTTACCTGTAATCTTAGGGCAGCTGATGCGCCCTGGAGTGTCCAGTCTCGTTTCACAGTCAGAAACATTAAAACTAAGATATTTGCAACTCAACTAATCTCCTGTCAAACCAAAACGTGTTTACATTTGATTGATCACTGAGTGGTGACCATTGTCTAAAGGACATAACAATTCCCCAAAGACTATAGACACACCATATTGACGAATGTCAAATTTATTTATTTATTTATTTGAACACATAGATATTGGAACAAGGAGGCACCAAATACATATGCGCTACATAAATCTCATTTGATTTGTGTGAGGGCTGTGATACTGCCCGGGTTCCCAAACCGAAGCAGGTGGTTTTCATAGGAGGCCACACCCCGAGCCTTTGACCTGAAGGTCTGATCCACACGGCAGTGGAGCATCGTGCGGAAATGCAGTCCCATGGTAGCCGGTGACCAACAATTGGTTCATCAGCCATTTATTCACTCAGGATACTGGAGCCCGTGTTCACCATTGGTGCGGAATCAGGGTTTTCCAACTCCCCTAGGTGGACTCACCATGTCCACCGGCCCGGTTAAAGCGCCGGACATTCGCCTTTCGTCCTCTCCTTTTTGTAAACAACACCCGTGATGTGAGAAGACAGTGAGTAGGACTTCCCAGGCAGAGGCTATACACGCGTGGCCATGTGAGAGCATTTGGAGAGGGAGAGCGAACTGTTTCCACTCTTGGTCGTACTAGGACATTTGGGGGCACGAATGTCAAATATCACGAAACATAGCTCTAGGGTTTCCTACTGACTACAACCCGTCACCTCCCTACATCGTAAGATTTTGGACACAATGTCGAGTCACTTAGACTAGTGACCGCATTGTAATTTGGTCTATATAATTAGGTCTTTCCAAAGCGAAACCTGACATGCATGACACGACAATCTTAGGGCAAAAAAAATTAATGACATTTCACGGTCTTACTTGTTATAGATGATTTGTTCATATTTTTGAGTGAGCTTATTGAATATCCAATAGAACGAAGTTTTGGTTTCATTAATACATAATCATTATCATCATTATCACATGTTACAGTCTTAGATGATTCTAAAACTACTTAGGTAAAACGGGATAGTTTAAAAAAAATCAGTTGGAGTGTAGAGTAAATTGTTTGAAGATGATTCCAGAATTCTAAATAAGTATTTTAGAATTTACCTACTATGATATGTTAATGAAAATGCCCTCGAATGAGCCTATAGAGGGTTGATCATATGTCATTCAAATTTTCTGGCAGACAAGATAATATTCAGTCATCGAGTTGTTATCCACTGATTGACAATGTCCAAATTTGTGATGTATTATATATGCGTCAATCAGTATTATTGCCTGTCATTTATATCACTATTCATATACTTCTCAGGATCCAAGCTATGACCAGTTTGTGATTTAGACCAGTGATAATTCTACAGTCTCGGCGAATCCCCTTATGCTCACTAATGACTAGCCTCAAGATATAACTCCTGGAGTTCAACCATGTCATATGTGAAGCAGACATCTACCGCAGGGAATAAATGACTGCAACGCAATATCGTGAACTATTGAAGTTAGAGGTCATTACCTCTAAATGTCAGTTCATTGATCTAGAGGTTTAGTTCTTGTACGTGTGATATATGTTCTTGGGTTTGATTCCCAGTTGCGGAGTCGTGTATGCACACTCTTAAAGAGTTCCAAACTAGGACGAAACAGTCATCCAGTGATCTAAGATCGTTTCGTAATTTAAACTATGAAAATGTTTGTTTATTTTTAAATGACAAACGATTTTAACTATCATTTTCAATCTTACAATTTTGTTTAGGAGATAATTTATTTATTATGGATGGAAAAGTTTGTTTAACCACTAATATATGTGTATATGTGTAACTTGTTATTTTTTTCTCTTATAATCAATGTTGTTTATTTTCTTCGTGACCACTTGTATGGTTATCAGTGATACCTTTTTAATTGTATACACTACTAATATCATTCTATGTCATATCCCTGTATGAAGCACTTGCAATATTACACTATTGAACTATTTGTTATAAACTGCTTTTATAGTTTCTAGTCTACAATCATGACTATTTATCAAATCTATTTTATTTATTAGCTATAGAGTAAGGGATTTAACACTGTTACGTGTTTTATTTTAATCGTTATGCATGTTGAGAATAAATTGATGTAAATCTTCTTTAGTGAAATTCATGTCACTCGTTTTCAATTCTTTTAATCAATCGATTACACCATTGTATTTTGACTTGGTGGAACCGGTTTGTATGTGGTAATTTTATGAAAACTGTTCAGTTTTGCATCATAGGCTGACTTTAGCTAAGGAATCATTGAAAGGTAAGGTAGACTGAACATCTATTTCGTCCTGATGCCGAACTCCTTAGAAGTGCGAACCCAATATGACACCTGGTTACTGTGTCCAGGAAATTCAGACCTCGAGACAAGTGGGTTAACTTTAACCTATTGGATTAACATCCTTACTTACTTACTTACGCCTGTTACTCTTTGTGAAGGAGCACAGGCCACTCACCAGCATTCTCCATCCGACACTGTCCCAAGCAATCCTTTCCAGCTCCTTCCAGTTGCAATTCATCTTTTTTATGTCTGCTTCTATTTCCCGACGCAATGTGTTCGTTGACCTTCCTCTCTTCCACTTCCCTTCAGGATTCCAAGTTAGAGCTTGCCTCCTGATGCAGTTTGATGATTTGCGTAATGTATGTCCTATCCATTTCCATCGTCTTTTCCTAATTTTCTCTTCAGATGGAAGTTAGTCTGTTCTCTCCCACAAAAGGCTGTTGCTGATGGTATCCGGCCAATGAATGTTGAGTATCTTGCGTAGACACCTATTTATAAATACTTGTACCTTCTTGATGGTGGTTGTTGTAGTTCTCCAAGTTTCAGCTCCATACAGTACAACTGCCTTGACGTTGATATTGAAGATTCTGACTTTGATATTCGTTGAAAGTTGTTTGGAGTTCTATATATTGTAGGATCAACATCCAAAAACTCATATTTCCAACACCAACCAATCTGTGTTATAACATGATGTCGTCTGTATTCACCGGTTATAGCTGTTTCATGAACGACATCGTTTGGATTCACGTCTATTAGCTTCTCACAAGAGCTTCAAGAATGCTTATCAAAGTTAGTCTCTTATGATACTTCATTGTGTAAAGTTACATTCTTAACGTAACGATAGATGTGCAATACTGATGAATCTTATGCTAAGACGAAATACTTGTTTATTACTTTCTGATTTTCAATAGTTGTCATTGTAATTAAAATATAAAATTGTTAGAAATGATATAAGTAATGTACTTGACATTCATTTATGTATTTTCATTACTTTCTTCTTGTCTAGAAATAATTATATTCATGATGCCAAATCTGCATATGAAGCCAGTATACGATTAGCACATTTAGGTAAATCAAATTATCCACCTATTAGAACATTTCAAAATAAGATAACTAGCACAAATAATGTATATGATGATTTTAAAATTGCTCAAAAAATGTAAGTAAATGTATATTGTTAAATAATTTGTGGTATCTTTCTTTGAAATATATAGACAATTGAGTTGATCTAAGTAAATGGTTCATTGATGAATACACTTTGACATTTAAGTTCTATGGTGTATAGTAATCAAGTCTAGGAAATACATCAATCTTATTAGGTATTCGTCAGCTGGATACATTTGAATTCTAGTGTTGATATTCATAGTTAAATCTATATACATCATCTACCACTTCAATCAACAACAGATCATCCGTCAAGTTATTGAAGTCAGACAACTACTAACTAACGGTAAAACTACACCATACTGATCTTGACTGAAACAATCACAGTTCAAGTACCACCTCGTATATCTATGCGAGAAATTCAAAATGAAATGTTAAATAGCATATAAGCTGTTAGTATATTAACTAAATGGAAATTGACAATGTTTGGTTTCGAAAATGATTGAAATTGATAAAGAATGTCTACTATGCAACCAAACAGTGAATTAACATTCACATGATGCTGAAGTTAAATCAAAAGAAATAAATATCTGTTCCTAATGCAGATCATATATTGAAGTACTGAATGTAATTTAATGTGTAGTCAACGATGCTTTCGTAATTGCAACAACATCTTCTCAATGTAACTCCTCACTCTATATCTCAATCCTGAGTTTTTAAGTTTGTAAAGCAAAGGATGGATGGAAAAGCATCATTATACAATAATTGTTGAATGTTGGTGATTAAAGCCGTATAGGGTTATAAACCAAACTCACAACACTAGCCCAACTCCTAATATATAATTTTAACCTTCTTCCTTTATCATAATAAATAATTTAACATTTAAGAGATTGATAAGCGACTGATAAGTCGCTGAAGGTCGTCAGTCTGATATCCGTTTACCTAAGCAACTCTTGTATTATGGTATTCACTTGTTAAACTTCACTCTGATTAATTACCGATTAGTATCCAATATCATATTTGTTTGATCATTACCATTCTATTAATCCAATTGATACTAGTATAAATAACATTTGATGAATTATATTAAGATATTAGGTAGTTAAAAGAAAACATGAAGAAGCTGTATTTGCTCTTAATTTCTTGATAGCTAATGCTTATTTCTCCAACATATCAGTATTTTTCTTGGAACTGATGTTCTCTGTTGGATTTAATTACTGTAATCAAAGAAGTGACCACACTTTACTGACAAATACCAGGAAAAATTCTAGATCACTAATTTCTAGTCAAAAAGTTTTAATCATTTAACAGATCAAATAAATTTATTACTTCACTTTATTCATTAATAATATTGATTAAGTGCTCGCGCGCGAGAGTGATATATCCCGGGTTCAAATCCCACGAGGCGGGGTTGTGAATGCGCACTGCTGAGGAGGCTGACAATAAAACGAAACGGTTACCCAGTGCTACCATGTTTTCCATGGTTGTCTAACTTCAATTGACTCATGATCTCAACTATTGAAATTACTACAATCTCCACAAAACCCCTTCTGATACTAATCAACATATGCTCACTAATGACTGGTTTCAAGAGGTATATCCTGGAATTCTAGTGAGAAGCAGTAACCAGTGGAGTTCAACCAGGTCTGTTGTGAGTTAGTAACCCAATGAATACAATAATAGATGTGTCGTTCAATTTCGTGGATTAGTTGAAGTTAGACAATAACACCGTTGGATGCCGGCCAACTCAGTAGTTTAGTGGTTAAGTGCTCGCGCGCGAGACTGATAGATCCTGTGTTCATATCCTGTTAGGCGGGGTCATGGATGTGCACTGCTGAAGAGTCCCACAATAGGACAAAACGTCCATCCAGTGCTTCCATGTTTTCCATGGTTGTCTAGCTTCAATTAACTCATGATCTCAACTATTGATATTATTCACTTGATATGATTTTACTTGAATCTTCCCATTGATGTTTTAGGACTGAAATTGATCAGTCTCTTATTGGCATATGTGCATACTGTGCGTATGCCTCGATATTGCCTTAATTTACAAGCATTATAGGCAAAGATGGATAATGGCTAGCAGTGGAATCCAGGACGCGCGTTTCATCCTGTTTGGGACTCGTCAGCTGAATGTACCTGCATCTCAGAGTTGATGTTCACTCTGTGACTCAAACTCAGTACCGTTCGCTTCAAACGCCATCGCGTTATCCACTTAGCTACTGAGTCCTGATAGACACTTGCTTGTGCAATGGGGTGAAGTTTAATTCACTTGATATTGTTTTACTTGAATCTTCCCATTGATGTTTTAGAACTGAAATTGATCAGGACGAAACGCACGTCCTGGATTCCACTGCTAGCCACTATCCATCTTTGCTTATTGATATTATTATTATTGTTATTATTAAAAATATTACTATTATTATTGCATAATCATTTTAGTCCGAAATCAACACATTTAACAATTCGTGATTTAACATGGGAACAAAAAGAACGTGTCCTTTCTATTTTATTTGAAAAAATGAATCATTCCAAAATGAAATTTAATCATAAAACTAATCATAATAAATCACCAATGAATCAGTTAAATGATCAATTTAATAAAGAATTAATCATACAAATGAATAATTGTAACAATGGAACTAATCAACAGCTTGCAGTGAATGAAATTGATTCCAAGTCAATTCTATTGACAATCGATAATGATGATGATGATGATGTTGATGCTGCTGATGATGAACATGATCAAGGTAAAATAAAAGATCAAGTTAATGATAATGATAAAGTAAAAGAGAATCATCAAAATCAATCTAAAGAATTAACAAAGAAACTTTATGAAAAAGTAATTCAATTCAAAGATCATGAAATTGATGAAATGAATTCAATTAATCAATCGGATGTTAAATGTACATTAGGCAATGATTATGAAACTATTCATCAAAGAAATATTGATTCTACAATGAATTGTCAAATAAATCAAACTAAAGTACCATATCCATCACCTCAATAGAATAAAAGAGAATATGTATTGGTTAATGATAATGTGAGAAAGTTATCTTTAGTGATTCAAAGAAAAGACAATTCAATATTATGTACTATTTCGACAGATTACATTCATACAAATTGATGTTCGTTTCTTTTTTCTTTTTTATAGGAGTTTTGTCCTTTGAGCTGGATGATTTGGTTGTGGAGCTTTCATCATTCTGCTGAACGACATCATCAGCATAAATTTCAGGTAGAAGTAAAGTTTGTAAATAGTGTGATAAAAGAAGAAGGTTAAGCTTATATATTAGGAGTTGGGCTAGTGTTGTGAGTTTGGTTTATAACCCTATACGGCTTTAATCACCAACATTCAACAATTATTGTATAATGATGCTTTTCCATCCATCCTTTGCTTTACAAACTTAAAAACTCAGGATTGAGATATAGAGTGAGGAGTTACATTGAGAAGATGTTGTTGCAATTACGAAAGCATCCTTGACTACACATTAAATTACATTCAGTACTTCAATATATGATCTGCTTTAGGAACAGATATTTATTTCTTTTGATTTAACTTCAGCATCATGTGAATGTTAATTCACTGTTTGGTTGCATCGTAGACATTCTTTTTCGATTTCAAGCATTTTCGAAACCAAACATTGTCAATTTCCATTTAGTTAATATACTAACAGCTTATAAGCTATTTAACATTTGATTTTGAATTTCTCGCATAGATATACAAGGTGGTACTTGAACTGTGATTGTTTCAGTCAAGATCAGTATGGTGTAGTTTTACCGTTAGTTAGTAGTTGTTTGACTTGAATAACTTGACAGATGATCTTTTGGCGATCGAATTGATAGATGATGTATATAGATTTATCTATGAATATCAACACTAGAATTCAAATGTATCTAGCTGACGAATACCTAATAAGATTGATGTATTTCCTAGATTTGATTGCTAGACACCATAGAACTTAAATGTCAAAGTGTATTCATCATTAAATTTGCCGTTTATCAATGAACTTTACTTCTACCTGAAGTTTGTGCTGATGGTATTGTTCAGAAGAACGATGAAAGCTCTACGACCTAATCATTCAGCTTAGAGATCAAAACTCTACATCAAAATCATTCAGCTGAGGTACAAGTCTTCTCAACCATGACAAATTGATATTTATTTCATTTGTCTATACTAAATTATACCAGAGGAATGAATAGGAAAATGTTTTGATTTTGGTTTTTCTATTATTTTCAAAGTTTGTTAGTGTTGATTACTTTATGCTTTAGCACAAGTTACTACTATGAACTACTACTGAACTAAACGTGAAAAGGTTGACAAATACAATTTATAACATAATAGATAAATAAACTGGATTAGGGGTTTGTGGGAATTGTAATGATTTTAATAGTTGAATTTATGAGTCGAGTTCCGCTGGCGGGATCGTGAATTTATACAGTGGAGGAGTCCCATACTAAGGCGAATCGTCCGTTCAGTGCTTTGCAATGGTTGTTTAGCTTACATTGACTGATGAATTCAATTATTAAGATAAATAAATGTTTTGACATAAGCCTATGATTTATAGGTTGTATTTTCTACAAACTGAACTCACCTAGAATATCATTAAAATTTCAGGTATAATAGATGATTTTATTTTAGTACAGAACTCCTCACTGTCAGGAATCAAACATATGATCTGGAGGACTTGCGTCGAATGCTTAACCATCAGATACATTGAGTAATGGTTTAATAAGTTGGTTCCAGATTCAACTAGTTTGTGATATAGCTTAGGGATAATGCGATGTTATTAGTGACAATCGTTTCACTCCTGACTCTGATGAACTACGTCGGTTACAACTTATCTCTGAAATTTCAGGAACATCTTAGAGTAATTCACTAGTGATCTAACTGCTATAGTTTAGCTGTAGGTGGTTTTTGGAAAAATGGTTCTGTTCTTAGATTTTATTTGTTACAAACTGATACCTGGCTTATTCGTGGATGAAGAGTATTGAGAAGTTCAATACTAGGACGTGAACATTTATTCAGTTCTCTCTGGTTTACAATAGTATTCCAACTACAATCAATCTACAGCTATTACAATATACTTTTTAAACCAATCTCAGCAAAATGTCTTTAACTAAATTATAAGTCACTGTATCGATAATTTATTTTTTGAACCTGATAAATAATTGCAAGCATTACTGGTGTGTTGGTCGGTGTCCAAAATGTGATACGGATACACGCTGTGCTACTAGTAAACCTCCCAACTGACTACTCGAGCGGGAACACAAGAGTGAACGAATAAGATGTACAAATACTCATTCATATATTTATACCACTCTAGTTATTGGAAATGGACTAATCTCCTAGCAAATGAAATGTACTTGTCCTTTAGGTCACTTCTGATTAACTCCCCATATCAACTGTAACCCCTATCCTTATTAAACTTAATCATATTAGCTGGTTTAAATGATATATATGATCAATTTATACTTCGGTTTCACTTTTTAAATAATGTACAAGTAGAATTCATTTGATATTGTTTGCTTGAATCTTCCTATTGATATTTAGGACTGCAATTGTTCAGTCCCAAATAAGACAAAACGCACATCCTGGATTCCACTACTAGCCACTATCCGTCTTTGCTTATAATGTATAAGTTGTTTGATTATCTCTTTTTTCCTTCTTAAAGTTATTGTAAGACATTTAATTACTTTTCTGCTATTGTTTATATCTCATCTAAATGATTTGTTAATAAGTGTGATAATTTGAATCGGTGGAATAAATTTTTTTTCTCAAGTGTTTACTTTATTTCGAATATTCCACTTGTTGTTAGTTGCGGTGGTAATACTTTTCTCCATCACATAACCGATACAAACTTTTGAGAAGTATAGAGAACGAAATACCAAGATTGTGGTTGATAGTATCGAATAAATTAAGCATTGGGTAGAAAGTTGTTAATAATTGTAAGGATGGTCCACGGCTCTTCTCATTTGTCTTCTACCTTCTCATTTGAAACTTGGGAGGGTTCTAGCATTCGAGTGCTCAAGTTATACACGGCATATCAAGAATATAAGCTCTAGATATAACAATAATATTATTTCACTGATCGAAATCATGAGTCAATTGAAGCTCGACCACCATGGAAAACCTGGAAGCACTGGACGGCCGTTTCGTCCTAGTATGGGACTCCTCAGAAGTGCGCACTCACGATCCTGCACCCCGCTTCAATTGGCTCATGACTTCAATCAGTGAAATTTCTAAGATCTCCACAAAACCCCTTCTGGTAAAAATCATCTGCTCACCAGTGACTGACTTCAAGGGATACTCCTGGAGTTCTATTGAGAAGCCGTTACCAGTGGAGTTCAACCGGGTCTGTCGTGAGATATCAACTCACTGAAGACAATGGTGTACGGTGGCGCAACTTCGTGGATTGGTTGAAGTTAGACATTAACACTATCAGATGCCGGCTCAGTGGTCTTGTTGGTTAAGCGCCTGGCGCAAGACCGACAGGTCCTGGGTTCGGACCTCGCGGGGTGCGGGATGCGTACTGCTGAGGAGTCCCATACTAGGACGAAAGGGCCGTCCAGTGCTTACAGGTTTTCCATGGTGATCTAGCTTCAATTGACTCATGATTTCTATCAGTTAAATTTTTAAAATCTCCACAAAACCCCTTCTGATAATAATATTATTAGCGAGTTCCCAATAAGTAGATATACGTAAATCTGACGTTTCGTGACTTAATGTTAGTCACTTCTTAAGAGTAAATCAATAAATAACCAAAATAAATTATCACAAGTTTCGATAGTACAAAAGAAACAAATTAGGATATTTTTAATACAACCAAAATCATATTAAGTCTGAGCACGTTAATGTAATGAGAATTTTTAGTCAAGACGATTTTCTTTTTTACGAGACATCACTTTGTTTATTTGTGTCTATAATGGTGGGTATGAAAAAATAAAGTTTAATTTGTAATATGAAGGAGTAGAGGTAAGAATTAAATGTGTGTATTTGTGTTTAGGTTGTACAGAAAATAAATAGACTGAAGGCATTTGGGTTCGAGTCCTATGTGTGTGATCGTGGATATGCATTGCTAAGAAGTCCCATGCTAAAACGAAACGGATATCTAGTGCTTGTAGGTTTTCAACAGTGATCTAACTTAGATCAGTTCATTATTACAATAAAAATCAATAGAGTTAAATAAGGCTATTTGGAAAGACAATCTAGGTTTAATGGATAGTTAGATATTTGAGGAGTATACCTATTTATATTTAACTGCACTGGATTAACAAGAAATTTAATTATTTACCACCAATAATTTGGCTGTTAATGTTCATATCAAATTTCTGACCTATTAGTCGGTTATAATTTTTCGTATTACTTAACTGACTAGTTTTATTTTATTGTATGCTTATAGATTGATGAGTTATTTGAATGCTAAGCGACCAAATAACCGAGAATTCAGTCGAAGAGAATGTTATTTCCATCAGTAGGTCTATGATGAAGTTAAACAAAAATAGAGAAAGTGGACAGCCTTGACGGACACCACTTGAGGTTGCAAAAGCAGATGACAGTTCGCCATAAGCTCTGACTCGACTGGTAGTGTTCGAGTAAGGAGCCTTTACGAGGTTTATGTACTCCTGAGGTACACCTTTCAATGACAGACACTGCTGTGCTAATGCGGTATGGCAACCTGGACCGATGCGTATATGTGCCTGGTCCTACGTTGTAGCTGACTGACTGACTGAAGCCACTAAATAACTTCTGTTTGTAGTTGTTGTTTCTATCCAAGATTTCAAAATTTCTCTTGGATTTCTTCCCATCAAGATTAGTGACATGAATTAAGATAGGTGAAATGTTAACGTTCAACAAATAATTTGTTCTGATGAAGACAGAAAGGATGATCAAGTTTTATACGATTTAATATTTTTTTAGTAGATTATAAGTAGTATGTGAGCTGGTTGATTTTATGATTCCATGTTCAAGTTTGCATGATAGTCAACCTTACCGTCTTATTAGTTACATTTATCCCTGAAGACTAAATACGTTGTTTCATAGTTTACACATACATGATAAAATAATCTGTAATTTGGTTTCAGTATTAAGTTTTGTGTTAAGTTCTAAGTTTAATTAACATTTTTGTGATGAAATCTCGGTAAGCGTATGAAATACTGACGACTTTGAGCGACTGACCACCTGATAGGGAATCGCTGCATAACTATAAAACATTTAAAAATAGAAAGTAATAGAGCAACAGTGAAATAACAGCTTTAATCTGAATAATTAACCTTCACATGTCAAATTATTCTTTACAGTAAAGAAACAAGGTCATTTTTACATATCATGAGTTAGGTTAGTATTCTGAATTAGGGTTATCATGTAGTGGAATTTTCCTTAGCATATGACATCTCTTGTAATTCAAAGAGGTTGCGATTACATAGTAAGTGTGAGGTTGGAGTTTTGAGTTGGATTTACAAATTAGAGTTGAGGTTTTCATCACGAACTGACATCAGCTACAATGTAATCATTGCCACTCTTCTGTTTACGAAGTTTAGGAAATTAAGATTGTGATTTAGTGTATGAGTTAGGAAGGTAGATTATGATCTCGTCAGTCAGTCAGCTACAACGTAGGACCAGGCACATATATGCATCGGTCAAAGTTTTCATGTCTCATTAACACAATAAAATGAACACCGAATTCATAGAAGTAGTT